GACCCATTCGCCACGCAGGAACATTTAAAACTTATGTCGGAAACCAATGAATGTCTGGCCAACTCAAGGTCTTTCGCCTATCAAGATCAAGCTGAAAACATTCAAGTATGTGATAAAGGGAATCCTGCCCAGCGTGTATGTTAACGAAACGGATTCTATGTGCTTACAGTATGTCTCACAAGCAATAGATATACAAAAAGTTGACCTTCAGCTCCAAAATGGGAAGTCTTATCCAATTCCACCAGCCGGCACCGCAGTCCAAGTTCAATGCGTGCCACAGGGCCGTTGTAGATGCACTGGAGAGCGCCGCAGCCGATACTCGTCTGCTTCCGTCACAGTTGCGCGCTTTACGTGGACTTCAGAATCACTTCGCAGATTCCACTAAACCGAGCATCGCACTGGTTGTTCTCCCCAGGGGTGCGGGCAAGTCGGGTGTAGTTGCGCTCGCCCCTTATGTTCTAAACGCCACACGGGTGCTTGTTATCACACCGTCCATAATCATCACAAATCAAATCAACCGCGACATGAACAGCACAATACCAACCGAGACCTTCTATGTGCGCTATCACCTGTGCACTCCTGCTGACCTGCATTTCATGCTAGAAAATGGTCATGTCATTAAAGGTCCGCTCGACGACAATGCAGAAAGAGTCACTGCGCAGTTGAACAGGCACAACCTCGTCATTGCAAACGCGCATAAATTTGGATCCACCAGCAATGTGAATATTGAACAACTCCCTCGAACCTTGCTTGACCTCGTAATCGTTGATGAGGCGCATCACTACCCGGCACCCACATGGAAAAACATTATCGATCACTTCAGCACGAGCAAAGGAGTCTTTCTGACGGCGACTCCATATCACCGCGGTCACCATATTGTCGGCAGCAGTTTGAACAATCAAGAGGAGCACTACATTGCCTGTCAAGTTTCACGCCAGGAGGCAGTGACAGACATGAGAATCTCGCGTCCGGTTGACTTAATATCGGTGGGCGCAGCGGAACACACGGAAGAAGAGCAGGTTCAAGCTGTTGTTGAGCGGATGTATCTCATCCTACAGCAGCACGATGAACAGGTTAGGGAGACGGTGCATCAAGCATGATCTTGGTTTACACGATTGACCAAGCTGACGGTGTTGTCGATATCATCAACACCAGGTATCCCAACGTCGCGCACACCGTTCCAAAGGCAGTGGCATACCACGGCAAGTCTGGTACCGAGGGCTTCAAAGCCTTTCGCGAAGGTGGCCGTAAGTTCCTGGTGCTGTGCGGAAAGGCAACCGAAGGTTTCGATCGCCCAGAAGTAAGCGTAGTCGGCATCCTCCGCAACGTGGCAGCATCATCACGCGTACTGTTCAATCAGTTTGTTGGCCGCTGCGTCCGCCGCAAAGGAGCCGACGACGTTATCACAGCCTGGGTAGTGTCCCACGTCCGCCATGCTCAGGAGCCAAACTTTCGGAACATGGATGGTCTGGCCGAAGTTGATCCGGAAGACGATTAACCCTTGCGTTTCAAATAGCACTTTGTTGTGATTTTACTTCCTCTGAATGAGGTTCGCCATAGTCGGAGTTCTTTCTTGGTACTGCACTGTAGTTTGAAATGGCCCCGATGCTATTTATAGTAAATACGTAGTCGTTACCCGCATGACGTTCATTAGACTTCTACGTTGGAACTTTAACATGCCGAACTCCGGGTGGATCATCCCGATAGGAATTAGGAATCCATCATACATATCGTCACTCACCTTGCTCAATGTTATTGTTTTACGTAATAAACTCCGACTGCGCGAATGCGGCCTTCGACAACGACATCACGGGCTTGAATATTCCAGTAAGAGTATCCATCGAAAAAAAGCACAGTAAACAAATTTAGACGTCTTAGGGTCTCCTATTGTGAGACGTTGTCATGGAAAAGCAGAGAAAAGACCATGGCAAGAGATAAGAGGTGGGGGTGGTGGTTGGGGGGGAGGGGATTTGAGCTGTCTGAGAACTTATGAGACTTATGCAATCACTGACACTTGCCGAAGGTTAACACTGACTGTCGAATCTACCTCTACTGGAGACACCATACAATCTTTACGATGGGAGACAGCGAGCACAATGCGCATGGATCGGCCACTGAAACCAGCGGCAAGCGGCACAGTAGGTACGATTCCTCGATTGACCAACCAAATACGTCCGTCAGCGTCAATAGCCAGGGCGAGGAAGTTCCCACTCGCAAAATATGGAGCTTTTCTCGTTTCTGGAGAACGCTCATTTTGGGACGCCCGCCGATCGCCCTTCTTATGATAGCTTTTATATTGGTGTTCGGTGTTGGTATCGCCTTTTTGTCATGGGGGCTAACCTATCAAGCTGCAACGAAGTCGGCACACGCGCTGGGCGGGTCGCTTCAGAGAGAGATGCTTAAGCGTTTGGTTGGAGATGCCATTTTTAGATTACGATCCGCTGAAGAGGGAACAAACGAGTTTACGCGTGGGTTTAGGAAGGCAGGCTTCTACGATATCACAATTGAGGCTGGCCGAAAGGAGCTGATCCAGCGCGCGCAAGCGGCACTTGTTCCACGCAGAGGCTTGTTTCAGTCACTGTATATTACAACCGTTGATGGATACATGAACGGCGCTTGGGTGGGTTACGACCCCGACTATCCTGAATCAATTAGTTATCAACAATGGTGGATGTTTGGGAATGTGATAGAGGGGTTCGACGATTACCGATTTGATGTCGTGGTTGTTGAGGAAGATGGCACATTCATTGAATACAAGTCCACCTACGAAGGATTTGACCAGTCCGAAATGCCTTGGATGAAAGTATTGGAAGATGGAGCTGATGGCAAGGGATGGATTAGCGCTTTTCCTCAAGGTGACGAGGGTTGGATCTCATATTCTGAAGTGGCGGTGGACAGTAGTGATGTTATCACTTGTGTGGTGGGGTCAGATATGTCTCTAGGATTCTTGGACGAGATGCTCCAGGATGCTTCAAAGGACATACCCTACGCTAACCTTTTGTATGCTATTGAAGTGCATGAGGATGATGAGGACGACATCTTTCTCGCTGCATCGGAAAAATCGCCCACTGGGTCGCGACTCTTAAAGTTCACAAACGCTAAAGGAAGACCCGAGTGGCGAACTATGAGTACTGAAGAAGTGGGGGACACGGACCCCAAATTCAACACCGTACTGCAGTATCTCAAAAGTGGATCAGATGGAGGAGGTTTGAAGAAATTTTTGACTCGGCATCCTGCCCAAAGCTTTTCTGGTGAAATCGAAATTGCTGGTGCCAAGTTTACGATGCAGATCGGAGAAGTTCGTCGGAAGGACTTGTACTGGGCAGTCATCGTCCTTGTCAGCGAGGATGACGTCCTGCTGCCTCTCACCAACAGCAACAAGAAGGCTATTGGCATTATTGCAGCTGTGGTTGCAGCTGCGTGCGGCATCGCTACCGTGTCGTCTTTCCTGCTTGCACGGGCATTGTTCAAGATTACTCGCGACTTGAAGCTTCTCGCCAACTTCAAATTCCAGGATGTCCTCCAACGTGATATTGACAAGGAGAGTGGGGTGCGACAGCCGGTATATAGCCGCATACAGGAACTCTGGCAGATTCAGAGGGCATTCCATGTCATGGTAACGAACTTTGCCAAGGCTGTCGCGCAGAATCGCAGCTTTGGCGCTTCCGTTTCATCTCGAAGAGGATGATGATTTGATGTCAGCTGGGAGATTAGCTCCGGTGCTTTTGGTTAAAAAAAAAATATGATACCCAATGATCCCAAGAGAAAAAACATTTGTATTCCCGTGTGCGACACTAACGGACATGGCCACTCTTCCATCTTCATGTGGCGTTTGTGCGTACTTGTCAATCATAGGCCCAAATGTAGGCAAGACTTTGTCGCTTTCAGTTCGGTCACTAATAGAGCCCTGCACATGTAGAAAGGTGGCAAGCTGAATGAATGTCTGCGTCAACAGTATTACGTTTTGATCCACTGCTTTGGCTTGGCCCCGCAAGAAGTCTGTCCATTCCCAAATGGTTTTAATGGATTCGTCGAAAGAGTACACCCCCAACCCTGCCGGATGTCCTTCAGATATAATTATGTCAGCATGTACCTGCGCACGTCCGAGATTTGTTCCCCAGGACATTTTGGCCGCGCATTCAGAGAACCTACGCAGGATGCTCGTACGGAGGTACACAGGATGTCCTGAAGGATTCACAGCAATGTACTCCCGCTACACATCCTTAAGGACATCCGTTGGAACTGCTAGGTTAATATATGCCGGGGACATTCATGCGGATCTACACTGCATGTCCATGTCTGCGGAGATCCCCCGGACATCCGTCCTTTTGCCAGCTATGTTGGCAACGTCCGTTTCCATGGCACTTGCCTTCCTCCAACAGTTCGATTGCGATTTTCTTGCAAGTTCAATTTCCACCCAGAACACAAACATCGTTGCATACAAATGTGAGCACAAACCACGGACATCACCGAAACCATATCAGAAGAAGAAATGGAAGAAAAAGGTACTGCGGAGCCAACATCAGGTTTGGAGGAAGCGGAAAGCAGCGATCCCGACGAACAACCGTGATCAAATTGAAGCAGACAGTCATATGTTTGATGTGTATGAACACTGCTAATGTATTGAGATAATGCAATACTATTATCGGTTATAAACAGCGTTCAGCGGTATGCCCAGTACGTGCTGTATGCACGCAACCCCCTGCGAATGCCCTGAAATAGCAGTCGGTGCTCCATAGAACATCCACGGGATCTCCCCCGCAGCTCTGAACCTACAATGGAGGATGTCCCAGGGAGCTCCTGAGCTCAGAATGCTGACGGAGATCCAACTGCATATGTACGTCCGACATCCGACGGTATGCCGTTTGCATGCCCTGAGGGATGTCCGGGGGACATCAAAAATGGACGTCCGCTGGGTGTGCGGTAGGGTTAGGGGTGTACTGACTGCATCACGTGAATATTCATATCAGACGAACAAAGCGAAAAATGACAAAAGAAAGGGGCCCTGCCGGGGTTTGAACCCGGGACCACCCGCACCCGAAGCGGGTATCGTACCACTAGACCACAGGGCTGTTGATGAACACCTAGCAGCACCCTGCGCTGGTCACATATGACCTACCCTCTCACCACCCGGCAACCGCAACGGATGACCAGAAAACCCACATACGCCAGGAAGATGGCGATCTGCGCAAAAAACCGCTCGGTAAGTTGGACTCTTCCCATGTTCAGAACCACGATGAAAGTGTGAGTGATGCCGTTGATATGTTCGTTGATCGGGGAAATTTGGATTGCGCCCATATTTTGGAGCCAGCATATGGCGTTGTATTCTTTCTGTAGCTATGCTTTACTTGTTTACCAGTGCTCCTGCTCATTCCCTTCTATAGTTCGACCACCATCGGCGCGTTTGTGCTTACCTTCCGATGGTTTCTGGACGACATGATAGAGGCATGGATGTTCGCAACGGTATCATGTTGGAGAAAGGGGTGCATTGCTCGTTTGATGACTTCAAGTTTTCTATTGTTCCTGAAGGTGACGAGGTACATCGCACCCTCTCCCCATCGTAACATTGCGAGTCCCATGCTGACCGCGGTTCTACATTTATGTCATAGTTCAAAGTTTTCGTTTTTAAGAGATCGCACTCCTCCGTGGCGCATGGGGCTAAAGTCTTGACCCCGAGAGTGGATGAGCGATTTTCATATACGAGATATTATGCGGATCTCTTCCCCAACAAGGCTGTATGTTTGGAGCATTTCCGACAGGGCGGTTCTTCGGAATGGAACGAAGAGTCACATGAGTCCGAGATGGAGGCAAGTGACCTAGACATAGAAGCAGCTGGACCGACTGTTAGTGACTTGACCGCAACTTTGTTTGAGCCGGTGATTTAAGAAGAGCAACGAAGGACACCTGTGCTGTAGGCGCTCATCTGCACCTACAGAATTCATCAGGCGTGACCTCTACTGCACTGCACTCAGCAAGCAGAGGTGCAGTAGAGGTCACGCCCGCATCGATCCAGCGACGTGCCTATCTTCTCGCACGGTACACCCGATATTCACAGGACTGGGAATCTTAAGTGACGGTTTTCAGAGGCCATCGTTTTCTTCACTTTCTTTTGCTCGCAGTTCAGTTGGTGTTGTTCAGACCTGGTGGTGCTGATGACGTGTTGTGAATTGCAGTGCAATGTACCTATGATTGATGATCTCTATCGCTGCATCTATAAGTGCCAAAAGGATAATTCGCGTCGAATGCTTCGCCATTGAAGAATATCTGATTGGGCCTTACGAAGCTATCTAAGTAAAATAACGTAGCAAAATCTAGTGACTCGAGCTCGGTAGGTGTTCATCTAGCGCAGACGATTTCTTCGTGAATTTAGGCCGGGAGTTGGTTGAATACACTTCTAGCTTCTCTTCCTGTCCCTTCGGTCTATTCGATCCAGCCCGTTCGAGCGCCTTAACGCGTTCCATGTCTGTGATAATGATAAACGGCCTGATAGGCTTAAGTATAGTGTACACGAGCACGACAGTTGTCGGAGTGATATACGGGTAGATGCCATATGCGAGCCCCACAACCTCGATGCCGAGAAAGACTAGAAAGCGAGCGAATTGAGCAATCGCAAGGGCGGTGGTGAAAGAAATTCTGGTGTTAGTTGAACCGCTTGTATTTAATATTTTGCTGTTTTTGTGAAGTCTATACGATGATGCGGTTAGAAATTACTTTGCGGCTTATTTCAAGAGATCGTAATGTACCTATGTAGGATGATGGAGAACAGGAATACATCCAGAACGGGCATGTAGATGGAGTTTAGGTACATGAACGCGGGTAGATAGTCGGCCAGGGGATCCGTCATGTAACCAACCGCCCAGTCTGAAAAATCAAAAGTTAGCTGAGCTTTCACTGACCATTGCAATATAAAACCCGTACATAATTGATCCATGAGCGTAAAGACGAACACCAAGCCCACCAGACCATACACCGCATGCGACATCCTACAAGATGTAGACGTCAGTGAAGAATCAATGGGCAAACTTCTGTAAAGTAAAACGATGGCCTCACCATTTCTTCATATCCCTTAGCGATGCAACAACCCTGTTCAACAGCAGGAAACTGATCGCGCAATGCTCAATCGCGGAGAAAAACGCCCACAGAATATTCAAAAAGTTGGTTGCGCCCGCACTATTATATACGGTCGGATTGTAACAGATCAACCCAATGATCATGAGTAGGATGTGCATCCACGTGGCTGCCCAAAAACCGTAGCGTGTTTCGCGATGTTTGATGCTGGACACGGATTCGGCAAAGAGCGCCAGGAGGAGGAAGACGTTGATCAGGCCGGTTGCGTAGGTGCCTATGTAGAGGTCCTCCCAGGTGACGCCGACATCACTGATGTTGAACTCTGGAACGTCGCTGATAGTGTCGTCGGACATTTTTGGAGATGTTCAGATGGGCTCGGGAGATGTAGGTGTGCGGAAGGTGGAAAATCAAGGTTCCCTTTAAGCTTCCACCTTGCTCTGTTTTTCTGCTCTTGCCTCGCTACTTTCAAGATTTCCCAACGTACCGCGGGGCAAAGGCGGGTCCGATGCTTTTATAACGCTTGTAGGTCAAGATTTGAGCGGCCATATCCGGATCTGTTCAAACTGGGTAGGATGGGGCCAAGTCTCTCGCATGTGTCTGTGGCAGACCTAACAAGGACATCGTCGTCGATCTCCCGCTTGTTTGGATGCTGTCCCGTATTCATTCTGCTGTTTTCCTTTGGGTCTGAATCTCTTGCCATGGTAGATAAATGACCCACGCGAGGCGCATGACTGTTATAAGTTTTTCAAGACTTGCTTGTTAACTTTGTCAATGCCATTTCCTGGATTACTTAAGTCTTTATTTGCTCCACGCACCGGCCGTGTTGCGCAGGAGAACCATACTCTTACTCTAACACAACCATCTACTGCTGCTGTCATATCATCAATTGCGGGTAGACTGTCTATTATGTGCTTTGCTGTGTGTATACTTTTTGGCCAGGATACTGTAAAAGCTGTGCTGGACGCGCCATGCGCATCACCCGTTATATTACCTGGATGTTTTATTTGATGAATAGCAGTGCCCATTACCTGTTGAAGACCCAGTTTATGTCTAGATTTGAATGATCAAACAGTAATGATCAGAATGAGAAAGAACGTTGGTCTCTTGCCGATTACTCCAGGGTGAATCAGAGCTCCAAGGAAAATGGCTTGATGAGATTTTAGAGGCATACAATATGGGAAGATATTCTGTACATGCGATGCGGCCTATTCCAGTGTCTACATAATGCGATTTCTAAATAGCTGCAGTGCCTACGCCTCTTATTCATCCAAGGACGGTAGAAATGACGGCCAGTCTTTGTTCAGTTTGTCCACTATGACGTGATTTCGTCTTGGCTCCTCCAGCCAGCGCCTTCGCTCATCGGGCGAAAGATCGCTCCAGATCTTGGGTATACCCGCGCTGGGCGCATCTTCTGAGAATTCAAAGAGCTGCACTCTCTTTCGCGTCATATCAACCATCAACGTCTCTATCCCGCGATTGACGATGAGGATTTGATTGAATTCTATGTACGGCTGAGCATGCCACCCTAAGACGACTCGGTCCTCGGGAAGCGGATTGAGCAATGACGTCCCGTTGATTGTAATACCGCTCTTCAGCGACATGTCCGCATCATATCCAAGTAGATCGATCAGCGTGGGGACTACATCCATCGTGGATACAGGCCTTAGCTTGTTACGGCGCAACGTCTGTCGTCGCTCTTCCGCGATAAGTCCTTTGGGAACATGCAGCCACATTGGAGTGGAAATTGATTGAAGGGAAATGTTCCAAATGCGATCCTTTGACTCTCCATGGTCCCCGGTGAATGCAATGACAGTATTCTGTAATCCGCCTGGCAGCGTTGAGTCGATATGCCTCATCAACGCCTCAAAATTTGGCTCAAAGACGTTTTTCAAACTCCAATGGTAGCGAGACTGGTCGATCTCCGCCTGGGTCAGGCCTTTAGGCGGGGTATACTTGTCCTTATCAACCAGGTACGGGTGGTGTAGGTGGTTGAAGACCATCAGCATGGCAACTGGGTTTTCCGTGAAACGAGGATTGCCTTTACTCTCTTTGATAAAGTGGCTGAGCAATTCGCGGTCATCCATAGCAAAATCCATAGCATACTTGACCTTGCCCTTAAGAGGCTCGCGATCTGGAGAGTGGACAATATCAAAGTCATGAGTATAGACGCTGGTGATCGCATGCCAATTCTTTGCTTTCAAATGCACATCCGAGGCGCTGAACACCGCGGTTGTATAGTTGCGTTGCTTTGCATAGGTTGCCAGTCCAGGGAGCGACAAATACTCCAGAGTATGTTCCGGCTTATCGCTAACAATTAAGCTCCCACTCATCAGCGCAGGCACACACATTGCCGTCAGGCCTGCCGGCGCGTGTGTGAATGGGAACTCGAACAAGTCGTCGGCGTGGTCCTTTAAGAACTTGTAATATCCCGGAACAGACTTGCGTCCCTGAGCACTGTACATATATTCCCGCGACAGTGATTCCATCTCAATGAGGACGATATTCGGAGATGACCCATTGCGCTGAAACGCAGGCGTGTCCAGGTCTTTGTACATGATGCTTTCGAGGAACGAATCGCCGCTCGTCCACAGGTATTTGGCCGTTGATAGTAGCACATTCGATAGCGGAGAGTACCCCCGTCCCAGAACAGCTACGATCATCAGCAAAGCCAAGCCTCCTCGCAGAATCCGCCTGATCCCCATCTCCACAACTTCCGGACTCGACAAAGGCTCGACTCGAAGGTATGTATTGGAAAATCGACTTTGGCTTGAACGCCATGGCGTTATCGCCACAAAGAAACGTTGGCCAAAGTGACAAGCACAAACGTAGGCCAGAAGGGAACCGTAGAGCGCCAGCGTCACGCTGTATACGGAATATCGAAAAGAGTCAGTCGACAGTTCAGAGTTGTCCTGCGAGGCTGCTTTATCCCATGAACTCAGAAATATGCCCACTTCCTCCGTCCCCACGATCTTTCCAACGAGTTTCTGAAAGTGGTAGTCCATGG